ACCACTCCAAGAGTCGCGAAGGCCTTCTCGGTCTTAGCTAACCAAAACTCAGTCTCTTCAAATGAGGATGCCCCTGCAAAAGTATATGGGTATAGTTTATTACACCTCTCAATGTAGCCTAAGTCCATCATGGGAGGAACTAGATCCCGTGGAAGATGAACTAGATTGTGTTGGAGAGGGACCGAGTGGCCTGGTGGTGGTGACGGATGATATGGTTGTTGGCACCGGGTTGTACTATGGTGATACTGGATGATGCAGTGGAGGTACTGGATTGTACTGTGGTAGTGCAGGATAGTACGGTGGACGAGCAGGGTTGTACCGGGGTGGCTCCAGATTTTCCCACTACAAGGGTGGCTCAAATTATAGTAACGGGGGAGGGTCATGCAACTCCGTATTTTCCTCCCAGGCATGCTGGGCAGAGATTAGTCTCTCTAATATCTCAAAGAGTTGAACGACATTCTCTCGAAGTGAGCCATCTCGAACTGCTCGGTTTAGTGGAGGTCTTCAACTCCTTATTTTTTATACCTGCATTTCACAATAAAAGGTTGAGTGATAATTTTGTATTTGGTATTTTTAAGTCTTTGTGTACGGAATGGTTCCAAGAAATGTTGCTCTGATACCAATTGTAAAGACCTAAAACCTTGGGTAAAATAAATTTGAATTAAAGATGCAGAAATATATAATAACATTAGGGTTTACATTCCTTATACATAAATTAGAATGTACAATAGGGTTACAGAAATGTCCCTTTCATAGTGGTTCATAAAAAAAATAAAATAAACATATGAAAATAGTAAATAAATATTGTAGGGAGGTTAACCTCTACTAGCTCTTGATAGGATCCAGGGGATACCTACTTAAAGCCCTCATGCTGATTATGATTTGTATCTTGATCTTCTTGATGTAAATGATTAATAAGGGTGAACAACACTAACCCAATAAGAATATCACACTACTCATCGATATGAAAACTGAAAGTTGGTAAAAAAAAACATAAAACGACTAATGGAGCTCTTAATTTAAGTAAGTTCATTTATCATAAGAAAAATCATTTATTGCATACTTACCGTTATGAGATTTCTAAAATCGACCTACAAAGACAATAACACAAATAACATTATGATTTCTTATACAAGTGAGTAAGAACAACAACTTTTCTTTTTATCTGCTTACTAGTACCTTTAAGGGTTCATAAGGATGTCCTGCTACGCGTGAACCCAATATCCAAACTTTTCAATTAACTAGCCATTCCCATATCCCGTCTGGTATGAGCACCAAAAATGTCATCCCTCGATATCCCGTCTGGTATGAGGGTGAATTGGGTTGTCTTCATACCTTATCCGGGATGAGCACAAAAAATACCATCAATCGATATCTCGTCTTATATGAGGTAATATCCCGTTCGGTAGGGTTCCCTATGTACTCGGTCTGTCCACCATCTCCCAGGATATTCAGTAAGACAATCATTTATTAATTCACATAATCAAGCAATTTTCCATTCGTATATTAATTTCACATTTTACAAATCAATCATAAATCACACAAAACAAGTGATATATGCATCAAGAAAACACAACTAAATCATTTAACTATTTCAATATATTATCATGTATTTGAGACTGTACAAGTAAATAATCAGTTAAATAGAATAAATAAGTGACTAACCAATTCTGACTCCATTAGTGTCCTGTAATTATTCCTAAAATTTTTTAAATTTAATAAAATACCATATTATTGATTATTAAGCTTCAATTCCACAACAAAGAATAGGGTGAGGGATTCTTATTTGAATTAGTGTCTGAAACATCGTACTTTCTACTGCGCTTCCTAGTAGTCCCTGAATTTTCTGAATTTTTATGTGGAGATTAAACATATTTCACGTACCTAAAAAATAACCCAAAAATCCAAAATTGGTATTAAAAATCCCTTCCGGCCAATTTTGAGATTCCGGCACCGCTGCCGCCGTGCTTCGACAACGGCCCGCCACCCACGGTAGCTGTTTGCCTCGGTCTGGTCGTTTTCTGTCGGTTTAGGCTAATTTTTGCCGATTTTACATGTATCCCTGTAAAAAAATACGTTAGAGAGTCTCGGTTAGCTGAAAAAAATTAGAAAATTGAAACCTACCGGTGGTGGGCTTTCCGGGTGTGGTGGCTCCGCCGGCTCTCTTTTGCGACTACGATTCCTCCTTCGGTCAACCTACAGAAAACAGAACGGTGAATACAACAGTAGCAAAATCACATGAAATGAGAATTGGGAAGGGGCTCATCAGAGGAGGTTGCAGGTTTTGGGCCACGGTGCCTTGCCGTGCTTTGCCTGCAGTTTTCGGCTCACCTACTATTCGTTTTGTTCCAATATAGCCACAGGGGTGCTTGGAACTGAATTCCAAGTGAATAGGAGAACTTTTACCTTTTTCAGCAGTCGGAGGTGGCTCCGGTGTGGCGGCGGTTGATGGTCAGCTTCATTCTCTAGCGTTTGGTCCTTCTTCTCCGGCCGAGGAGGGGGGGGGGGGGGGGGGCTAGCGGTCAACGTTTGGGTTTCGTGTGATGCGAAATATTTATACCCATCCCGCATTAATCTAGATCGTCCATCGCGATCGATCTCGTCCGTTCGATCACATTTAAGGAAGAAATAAATTTGGACCGTTTATCGCGTTTGATATCGTTCGTTTGATTAAACCTAAGGGGAAAATGGATCCGAACTGTCTACGTGCATGGGATCAATCATGGGCCGTCCGATCGCAGGGCATGCAGATCGCCAGCATGGCCTCCCGCATGGCACCGACGTCAGCGTGCTTTACCACGTGACACGCTCTAGTTCGTCGAGGTTGCTGACTGGACAGTCCTATGTGACTAAACTTTTTTCATTTATACTTACACCCCCTTGTTTCTATTTTTTTTTTCAAAAACACTTACAGAACCTAAATTTTCACCAATATTTTTTCAAAATTATTTACAGTCTCGTTCCTAATTTATTTATTTTTTAAATATAACAAAAATTAAATTAAATTAATTTATAAAATATTTTTTATACATTTTAAAATTGTTAAAATTTATCTCGGGCCAATTTTCGAGCTCGGGTACTACATACTAGAAGAGTTGGGAGATATGGTTCACTCTTATACCAGATAAGGTATTGAGGCAATGGTGTGTTTGGTGCCCATTACCAGACAGAGTATGAGGACGATTGGGTAAATTGATAAATTTAAATATTGGATTTACGAGTAGAGGGATATCCCTATGGACCCTAGGAGTCCTAATAAGTAGGTAAAAAGGGAGAATGACCGACTTTACTCACTTGTAAATAAAATTATAAATCTTATATAGGTGTTTTTCTTATAGGTTGATTTTGGAAAACTTATAACAGTAAGTATGGAATTAACATTTTGGTATTAAATGAATTTACTTAAATTAAGGACTCCATTAGTTGTTTGGTGATTTTTACCAATATTTATTTTTTGTATCAGTGATTAGTGTGATATTCTTATTAAGATAGTGCAACTCACTCTTCTATTAACTATTTCAGATTAAAATGACCAAAATTCAGATCCCAATCAATAAGAAGGTTGTAAGTAGATTACCTCCCAGACCCCCATCAAATGCTAGTAGAGCTTAACCACTAGAATATTTATCTATTTGTTTTAAATTATTTATTTGCTTCTTTTTATGAACCGTTATAGAAAGGACATTCTCGTATCTTTATTGCATATTCTAATTCATTGTGTAAGAAATATAAACTCTAATTATTATTTGTTTATGCTATTTTAATATATATTCATTTATCTTAAGGTTTTAGGTATTTTACATTTAGACATTATTGTTGATATGAATTTTGAAATTCATGTGCAAAAAATTGAAAGATAAAACAATAAAAATACAATTATTATTAAGAATATAAATATCTATATATATTAATTATGTATATATTTTTTTATGGAAGCATGCAAGAATCAAATCTTTTTTACTTTAAAGTTATATATCTTTTGACTTTTGACTAATCTTAAGTTAATAATATTTTGAATTCTAAAAATGTGTGAAATATCTCACTTAATTTTTCATAGGTAAAAACTTTTTTTAAAAAATTAATAGAACTTATTTTCTAAAACTAAAAATTCTTAAATTTTTACTACTTTTTGCATAATGATAAATATTTTATAATTTTATAATTAAAATATACTTTTAAGTATTTGGTGATTACCATTAAAGAAAATCAAATTAAACATTTCCAATATACCATTAAATATGCTTTAACATAAAAGGTCTTGAATTTTAGTACCATTTCAATATTAAATAAAAATTTTATAATTTTTTAAAACCAAAATGTACTTTTACTATATTTTACTTTGAAATTCTTTTTTCTTTTTTTATTTTATTTTATTTGAAGAAGTACTTTACCATAACTAAACATCCATATGACTTTTGTTTATCTTTATTTATATTTTTATTTCTAACTATTTTAATATTTTACTTGTGCTAAAAATATATTCATATTCTAAAAATTAAACACTATATTTGTGTCTTTTTTTATTTTTTTATTTAAAAAAAAGCTATATCCGTACTTCTTTAAATTAGAATATTTATATTTATTTAACTTTTTTATTAGAACAAAATAACTCGCAGCTTTCGCCAATATCGAAGCAAGAAACAAATTCGATGGCCACAGCGAAGGCACCATGGAAGCAGCTTCTTCTCGACGCAATAGAGTCCAATTCCAGCTTCAAGCACTCTTCATACTTCCAGCTTGTACGCTTCTTATTTATGACATCTATACGTGTGTGCACGCGTTTATCCTACATGAATATCTATGGGCTTTTCTTTTTTGAATTTTAGTCTTTCTTTAATTTTATTATTGTTGGCTTTTCAGGCAACAATTGGTTCGAATGGAAGACCTTCGAATCGCACTGTTGTTTTCAGGCATTACTCTCTGATTTGTGGTTCCTCTTCGGGTGTAATGGTTACGGGAAAATTGTGAATTTTGTTGTTGATAATGCGTGTGTTTTTTAGGGGATTTGAGGAGAGCAGTGAGAAGATCAAAATCAACACCGATGCTCGCACTCGCAAGGTTATTCCTTCTCTTCTATCTTTTTGAAAGATAGTTTCCAATATACAATGGAAGGTTTCCATTCTTAGATTAATATTCTTTTTTCCTTTCTACTTTGGCATTTGATAAGACTTAAGTATGAGATTATAACTTTACTATCTTTTTTCCTTGGGTGCATCAATGAACTTTTTGACATTTGACTGTTTTTGTGTGTGTGGAGTTAACTCTTTGCCATCCGAGCTTTTCCTTTCATTGGTGCCTTAGCTGTTGAACTTTGATCTTTACCACAAAAGTGCAGATTGAAGAGCTTAAAAAGTGCCCATTTGCTGAGGTAATGTATATCTGAGGTTTACACGCATATATATTTTATAACACATAATTTGTTTTACAACTTGTAACTTTCACTGAATTTGATTGCTAAAACATTTTCCAGAGTTGGGTTACTTTGTTCCCTTGGGCTTATTTAAGAAAAATATCTTTATCTAGATATGTTGGTATTTTACGGATTCTTGGGAACAATTCCGGATCAGTGGAAGAATAGATGTTATTGATGGGTCAAATCCTGATTCCATGAAACTTCAGGTTAGAACGGACAATATTTGACTTTAACTTGGTTTACACAAACATGCGCTGGGTTTTATTATTTATTAATAGCATATAGGTTTTGGAATTTTTTTTGCACCATTGATGATCCTGAGAAGCTCTATCGATTCTTCAGTTTTAATATATGCTTCTGTTCATTTAATGTTTAGAAACAATTGCTACTGGATCTGTTTCTTGCACGAGATATGATCTGTGAGCCATCATAGAAACGAGGTTGCAACAAATGACAAAACCTTTCAACATGTAATCATATTGCTATATGATGAACATGGAAAAATGAACAATAATGCAGGAGACTATTTTAGATGTTTTCTTACTCATGAGATAATTTGTAGATGCTATTCTCGTATTTCCATTACATATATGTCTATAAGCATTTACGTAAAGTAGTTAGAACTCTACTGTTTGGTGAATACCCAGGTCTTCAAGATTAGCCTGACAATAGTTATAATTTTAAATGGTTCATAAAGACAATATGATTGTTTTCTTTTTGTTCGCACTTCTGGAGATAGCAAGTTTTTCTCCTTCTTAGTCAGTGAAAGAAATGGAGGGGCTTGTGCAAGTAGGATATCTTTGATAGAAGAAGAAAGTGTGCATAAAGGGGACTGCCACCCATACACAGACTATATAGTATGCAATTTAAAAGTCCTATGAGGTCTGCCTGCTCTTCCTCATTGTAACGAGCGTGGATAGTTAACAAAAAAATGTTAAGAAATTAATCTACTCATCTCTAATGCTATGAAATGGGATGAGTGGAAGTAGCAGATTTATGGAAGGCATCCCTCAAGTCTAAGTTTGTGCGTACGTAAAGCTTTTTATCATAGAGAAAAAGCATAGTTCAAAAACATGATTTAGGAAAGATTCCATATTATTGGTGCAGATACTCGGCGTGTGAACTCACTAAAAGTGTATGTCCTAGCAAAAAAAATGCTATTCAAGCAGGACAGATTATCTAACTGAGTGTCCCTTTCAAAGTATGAGGGAAGACTTCTTGAAAGTGGAAGAAAGTATTAATTAAGACACGCCTTGTTTAGTCAGAACAGTCTTTCACCTTTGTCCTGAAATCTTGAAATCTTGGTCGATTTCATGATGTTATCATAGCTTAAATTTCTAAAATTACCTATCATACGAGGGTCGGACCAAATTGAAGAAGTTACAACTTGATTGCAAGGAGAAAGTTACTTTCGCATAGTTTCTTTATTAATTTCCTTGTCAATAATGATTAATGCCAATTAAATGGACTAGTTGTGCTTCAAAATAAGATCAGAAATCTCAGAAGCAAGTACTGTACTGTAGATTTCTCAGAGCTGTGGTATCAAGTGAGCTATAATACATATGAAACCAATTAGAAAAATTGTTTCCTATATATTGTCTGTTTCAATGCCTTAAAATACACACCTTGACCAAGCACAACTTATGACAAACTGGCACATTGTTATATATACAGAGTGTTATGTTTTTGGTGATCTGGGATTCTCTGGACAAATTTTTTTCTTGGCGCCTTGTCGCCATGGAGCTCGTTTCTTTTTGTTGAGATGATAATTTATACATGTAAAAAGTACTTTCTGATTGTGCTCGCATGGGTGTATGTCCTTTTTTTTGTTTTAATAATTGTGAGATGTGACAATCAATTGCCCCAGAAGCTGTTAACATGGTGACCAATATCGGAAACCTACAATCTTTGTCTTGGATGGAAATTCATAGCGATGATACTTTTTGAATATTGCCATTTAGGTGTAACCAGTTCAAGTTATGGATGCTTTGCATGCTAGAATTGTAGGCCAGACCAGTTATTGCTGTTGATCCTTAACATCTCCCATCTGTATTTCCATTTAACCTTAGTAATGGAAATTTTCTGTAAAATATAAAAATGGAAGGTAGAGAAGGCTTTCACTTGCATGATGCATGAAAGAGAGATTATTTATCATTTCCTGATTTACTTAAATCTGAGATGCAGCAAAGAGAGAAATCTTGGTTTGCTAGTTCTATGAAATCAAGACTGCAGTACTTGGGTGCTAGCCCAGGTCTTCCCAATATAAGTGAGCAACAGACCCAAGAACTCTTCCTAGATCCTTCTACAGGTCCGGTCGCTTCATTTTGTCTTCTGGTTCTAGATCCAGATCAGGTTCTGTTACTTCTCTACCGCTTTCTTTCCTTTTTGCAGAAAAATTTGCTCTACATTTTTATCAACTCCCTGCAGATGACTCTTGTCTTTCTTTTTCTTGGGTTTTTATTTAATTTCTAGGTTGATTACTTGAATCTAAAGAGTGAGCAGAGACTAGCATTTACGTCAACATTGAATGTCAGCGGAGAGAAGTTCTGGACTTCAGAGAAGATCAACTTGTAAAATATCTGTTATTCTTAATTTGATGACACGGTTATGAGTGAGTACTTGGGCTTGAACCTATATTTTATCTTTATTTCTAAAACTTATGTTTTCATCTCAAAATCCTGTTAGTATTCTTCATGATTGGCCTAGAGAAGTAGCTTTCAGTTATTTTATTGGTTTTTTTAATCAACAATTATAGAATTGGAGGGAATATGCTATATGTATGACAGCCATTTTAACTTTTAATCAAGAAAGAAATAGATCAGTTGGTAAAATTTCATCAGTATTCTAATGTCACACTAAGCATTCTTAAGAGGTTTGCATGCTCTTCTGAGAGGAACCCCTTCAGCGTCAACCTTGGGATGGATGTAAAAACCTTTGAGGTGAGATCATGCTCTAAATGAAAATTGTTCAACATGTAACTTGTGCTACAAAACATTGAGACCTTTGCATACCTTTTCAGCGTCAAGCCTGTAAATCCATGTTGTAGCGTTGCAGATTCAAGGAGCCCTTCCGTATAAAGCATCCTGCCCAAATGAGTATCCATTCCAATGTTTGAAGGATGCCAGCATGATGAAGGGAATCTTGTTGGGGAATATGATACAGAAAACTTCCTTCTTTCATAAGTACGATTGTGGAATACTCATTTGAGCAAGAGGCTTTTCTATGGAAGGTAAAGAAGGATATTCCCTGTTCCTTAGCAAAGAAAAGGACGAGCCTTGTATATATAATCTCTGTATTTCATCTACCAGAGCTTTGTTGTTCTCAGAAGGTGGTTGCACCAGCCTTCTTATGGAAGCGGGTGGTTGAATTACATTCTTTTATAAGATATATTAGATATTGGACTGTTAGTTGGACTTTTTGTGACTTTTTTATTCTAAAAACAATATTTCAACAGCTGTCTGCATTTTGACCTCTTGAAGTTACAAAAACTTAAGCTTCCATTTTGGAACAGGGTTTTTCAGCTGTCACTGCTGTTGACTGTTGAAATCATTCTTTTGACTGCATGCAAAATGCTATTCCCAATTGCTTCATGTGCGGTGGAGCGTATATAAAAATGTAATAGAATTTATTAGGAAACCTTGTAATCTTCATATTGTTTGAAGTAATGTTGAGTTCTACTTGAGTTTTAGTTTCATCCTTGAATGAAGTACGAAAGCTGTACAAGTTTTAAATAAAGTTTATAAAAATAATTCATATATGTAATCAATATGATCCCAGGTTTCTTGTTTAAAGAAACGTAACGTCATTTGACTGGTTCAGCGGGGTGGGACGTGTCAAATATGACCCGTAAGGTTTTTACCTCATCTGAGTTGAATTTCTCCATGTCATTGTCATTCAGGTATGTACTCCCAGTTGTACGCATTTGCACCTCTGTTTGGGAAGCGAGAAAAGACTTGCATCTGATTACCACGCGAGCAGGAAGCAGTGGCAGGTGGTGTTGTCTATCTACCTTTCAAAGGGTTATGATTTTTAAATATCTTTATTTAATTATAAAGAGGGTGGGTGAATGTTTTTAGATAAAAGAATAAATTTTTTACGTACAACTTTATATTATAAAAATTTAATTACTAATAATGATTATAAAAATTTAAAAAAAAATAATAATAATTTTATAAAAATATTATATTTCCTTTAACTCAAAAAAGTAAAGTTTCTATCCTAATTTATTCTTCGTTAGGGGATTATTACAATGTAAAATTTATTAATAAATCAATCTAAAATCAAATCGTGGTAGAATTTTATTAAATTATATGTAAAAGCTTGTTGTTTATAGTATGCAATTTGAAAGATAATTTAAACAACTTTAAACTCATGAGATGAAAAACAATCATGAGAAGAAAGCTTTAAAAAAACAGTCCACCGTTTTTTAATTGATAAGGGAGACAAAAAAAATTCTGCTCTTGTACAAATAAGTTATATTCAAATAGAAATTACTTTGTATGTTGTTGTATACATATGTTGATGCATTATCCCTTTTTATTACTATTTACAAACTCTTAAATTATATTTTCCCAAATAATAATAAAAAGGGATATCACACTGCCGTATACTTTATAAACAAATTAATTTCTCATCACTTTACACCCAATAAAATTAAATAAATTAGTCCACACCATATTGAAAACCTGTGTGTCAAAAGAAATCCTTTAGAATATCGGCAACGTCACAGCCGTCCATCCTTGTGAATTCTACTTGAATCCAACGGCTCTCCTAGCATCTGGGCATATTTGCAGGAGGCCGCTGTAACCTCTCCCTCTTCCCCTTCCCATTCTTCACTATCAACACCGTTCCTAATCCCCATGACTGGTGTATGTCAAAATGGCAATGTATAAACCAAACCCCTACAATTCAAATCACCCAAAATATAAAAAACCAATTTCTTATTCATTGGAACAAGAAGAATCAGTGATCAAACAAAAAGAATGATCATATATAGCATAGTTTACCTGGATTATCAGCGACGAATCTAACTGCAGCCCATCCCCCCACTGGAACCCCAATTGTATTCATATAAGGTGGATCTACCAAGTTGAATTTAGCTGTTTGTGGATTGTAATTACCGGTCCCATATCCAACGACATAGAAGCTGTAGCCGTGGAGATGAATTGGATGGTTTTCAGTGGTGACAGTCCCCGTATCCTGCAATATAAGTTGCACCCTTGAACCATATTTAAGGACCTTCGCCCTTGTCCCATTCATGGCCTGTGTGTCATTAGGGATGTTATTGGGTGCTCCATTGACAAAGTCGTAGAATTTAAGGGGTGCCCCAGGAAAGTCCTCTGTAAAATACCCATCAATTTTGTGGTAGTAAGCTTCTAAAAGTGACAGACTAGGGTTGACGAAACTAATGTTGTTCATGGAAGCTGCCATTGTTCCATTTTTAAGCCCTGTGCAGTTGTTCGACGCACACTTGTTAACGTTAACCCCAATAGTGACAAAAAGATTAACGTCCATCGTTTTTGGAACTTTGACGGGATTCAAACTTCTAAGTCCATCCATGACTGTCATCACTGCCAGATTGTCGTTGAAACTCGGCAATTTAGCCGGTAATGTTTCGGTATGAGGAACAGCGCCGAGGTATTGAAAGTAAGCAATTGCTGAGATGTTCTGGAAACGAACGTGCTTGGCAGACATGTAAGGTCCCATAGCCATGGAGTATCTTCCTATGGGCTGATCTGCTGTGACGAGAACGTTCATGGTCTGTCCAGGTCCTAGCATTACACGCTCTGTGACGAATGGCTTGGTGTATTCACCATCTGTTTCGACGATAGTTAGCTTGTGATTTGCTATGGCGAAGAAATTCTCCATGTTTAAAGCTGCATTTATTAGCCTCAGCAGGTACGTCTTCGTGGGTACCACTTGAATCTCAAATACATCTGAAATATAACTTATGTTATACATGATCCTTATTTATTTAAAAGAAAACGTTTAATTCAGTGAAAAAAATATATGGATTACCATTGGCGGAGCAATTGTAGTTGGGACCTGGGTGGCCATTGATGGTAAAAGCATCTGCTGGAGGAGGAATGCCTCCACTTTCCATTACTTCTCTCTCAAGCTGCACAATGTCCTTAAGCCAATACTCCCCTAATGCATTTACAGTAATAGAAAATGGGATCCTAATTAAAAAGTTATTGGAAAAAAATGGAAGAAAGTGATATTGTATAATTATAAATATGTACCTAAAATTATGATATGTTCTTCATCAGGGCGCTTAAAAGGGTAAGGGACTCCAGTTTTGGGATAGACAACAATGGCGCCATAAACAGTGGCTCTAAGCCAAGAAACGTGGGCATGCCAGAAAAGGGTACCCTTCTGCTTCGCCAAAGTGAATTCGTATCTGAAAGTCTGTCCACTTTGAATGGGACACTGGGTTATGTAAGCCGGCCCGTCGAACCAGCAGGACCGCCTCTGCCGGACTCCGTGCCTAAAAATGATAAAGGGTTCAATAAGTAAAAGAACAAAAGTAATGAATTTTCCATATATATATATATATATGCATGAAACTATAATTACCAGTGTATTGTGGCATTATAAGGTGTCTCATTCGTGAGATTGACGATAATTCTGTCGCCTTCTTGAGCGTAGATGACTGGCCCAGGGAACCTTTTGTTGATAGTCACAATCTCCTTTGTGTTGCACAATTTGGTGACTCTTAAGGTTTGGACCTTTTATGTTAGTACCAATCAAATAAGGTTAAATAAATAAATTTCTAATTCTATTTGTATAAAAAAGGTAATTAAGAATATTACCGACTGATACAGAGAGAAATTAAGAAGAAACCTTAAAATCAAAGAATCTGGTGGATCCATTTCCAGCCCGGCCAGCGCCCATGACATGCAAAGCACAGCACAAGAAGCTAATTAACCATGTCAACAACCAAATGCCTGAGTTGGCCATTAGAGAATGAAGAAAAAGATAGAGAGTGCTGAAATGGCAACAGGGGCAGAGAATGTTTTAATACAATGTGTGTGTGTGTGTATATATATATATATATATATATATATATACAGTTTGAGAGTGAAAGCACAAGTATTTTCTCTTCATATTTGGTTATCTAATGTGTGTATATATATATATATGCAGAATTAGTTATAGATAGATAAAGAAGAAAAATATTATGTTTGTCAGCTTTCATGATTTGTGAACATGGTTTGGTGATAATAATGTGTTGGGAATGTGATTATTGTATGTGACCCCAATGGCTTAACACAGAAATTACAACAAAAGCTATATATATATATATATATATATGTATTGTGATTCATAACACCATCCCTGCCTCTGGTGAAATCATGTCATTTGACGCATGACTAAGGAAACCATTCTACAAAACCCCACCATACCAGCTAGCTAACCTTTTTTTTTCTCTCTCTCTCTCTCTCTATTTCCTCTTCTGAATAATAATATAGTTCTAACTTTTCCTATGATTCTGTCCAATATATATTTATATATCTATACGTGCGTGTTAAATTTTCTGCCCAGTAATTTTAACTTATACCCACAGTATATATTATTTAATTTATTTTATTCAATTAGTGAGCATGATTATATCAAAAGAAGAAAATTTGTACTGTAAATTCAAGTAGAATTATAAAATTTAATTAATTGGGTAAAAGTTACAGTCAAATTGAAGTAATTATATCCTGGAGGGGGGAGAGAGAGAGAGAGAGAGAGAGAGAGAGTCCTGGACGATACACATGATGGCATGGATATGTAAACAAAAATTACATTTGGCATTTTGAACAAGATATAACACAAATGAACAGTTATAATTACTCATAAGCAAGATCCACATGTAATTATTTGTTTAGAAAACATTGAGTAAACAGATAAGATGGATCATTTTTACACAATGTTTTGACGATACATATGTATAGATCAAGTTATGCATTTTTATTATGAAAAATTAAATAACTAATAAAATACAAATATGATACCGAATCATTATAATTATACTTAGAATAAGTATATAAATTTGATTTTACATATATTTAATTTCTTATGTAACACCCAAATTTTATTATTTTTATTTTTTAATTTATTTTAATTTATATTAGAATTTTAGTTTAAATTTTTAATATTTAATTTATAAGGTTTTAATTTAATTTAATTTAATTTAATAAAAATAATAATAATAATAATAATGATAAAATAGGGTAAAATTATTTTTGGGATTTAATTGAAATTGATTTTGGAAAAAATGAGTGAAAATTAATATTATAGGGATGTTTTTGAAAAGAAAATCGGAAACCGGAGGTCAAAACGCAATTTAAAAAAGTTGTGCCACGTCAGCAGCCCAGTCAGTAGCACCGGCCAACCAGAACACACCGCATGACAAGGAAGCTGACGCGGGAGGCCACGCGAGACGGAGCCACTTGGGCGATCCGCGTGCACGCGATCGAACGGTTCAGATCTCACGCGTGCGGACGGCCTAGATTGAATCACGCATGGACGGCCCAGATCGCATCACAATGGACAACTGAGATTAAAAGGGGAAGATTATAAATAACCTCACCCACACCCGACCCCAAACCCTAGCCGCCAGTACCCTCGCCGGAGAAGAAGAACCAATCACCGGAGGAGCCGGCCGCGGCCACCCACCGCCACACCGGAGGGTTTTCTGACTGCCAAACGAGGTAAATTTTCTTCCCTTGGCTTGTTTTTCGATGCTGAATTCGCCTATGGCCAAATCGGAGCCAAACCACCAGCCAATAGGCAGGAAAACACAGCCGAAGTCCAGCGGCGCCGCCGCGGCTTCCCTCAGTTTTTGCATCCGATGAGGCCATTTTCGGTTCCCGTTCGATGCAATTATTATACCACTGTGATCACCGTCCTTTTCTCTACAGGTTGATCGGAGAAAAATATTAAATCGCGACTCGCGTCGGAGAAGCCGCTGCACCCAAGAGCTCCGCCACCGGTAAGTCTCAGTTTTTCGTGATTTTTTGGCCCACCGAGGGCCCTAGGGTTGTTTTATCGCAGGAACTAATGCAAGTTTGGCCGAATTCGGCCAAAAATGGTCGAAAACGGCCAACCCAAGGCGGATCGCCGCCGTGCCGGAATTTTGATATTGGTCGAAATGGGGTCCTGGGTCTGATTTGGGATTTTTTGGGATACATGCAGGTACTGGTAGTGCGTTTCAGTTTTTTGAAGAAAATTTAGGGAATTTAGGGACAGCCCATAGGCACATTGTAGAGCCGATTTCAGACCCCGAAACAAGTAAGGATCTCTCACCCTATTTCCTATCATGGCATTAAAGCCTAATAAATGATAAAACGGTATTTTATGACTTAATAGATATGTATAATTGATTAAGATTGCCAATGGAGCCCAAATCTGATATATTTTTGGTCAGGTGTTGTTTGATTTATTTTGCAGTTTTGAATGCAGTATGGTGCCTGATGTGTTTATTCTATGGTCTCGTATACATGAATCACAGTTTTATTTATTATACTTTGAATTATTGTGAACCTGATGCTGTGTTGTCTTGTTTGGTGTCCATTACTGGTTTACGTGTTTGTATTTGATTGGATAATTGAGATTAAGAAAAATGGTAAAAAAGTATGTGAATTGATAATGAATAATGTCTACAGCCTCACTAGATATCTTGGGAGATGGTGGACGGACCAGATCCATAGGGAACCCTACCGGGAATGTAGTCTCTCATATCGAATGGGGTATGGAGACCTTATGCATTTTGGCACCCATATCGGACGGGGTATGGGGACGGCCCGTTTCACCTTCATACCGGATAGGGTATTGAGATTTGTGGTTTTGGCGCCCATACCAGACGGGGTTTGGGGACGGCCCTGGGATCAAGTTATTAATGTAATGGTCACGTGTAGCGGGGACCCCTTATGGATCCTATGGATACTAGTAGGCTAGTAAAAGAGGAAATTTGTTGTCTGATTATTGAAGTGCAAAAGTATAACATGTGTTATGTTACAAAGTGTATATGATTTTATGATGGTTATAATGTTATTGTTTTCATATGTTATTTTCACGAGTCTCACCGAGGTAAGTGGACAGTAAAGGTTTTTATAATTAATAAATGAGTTTGTTATAAATTATGCTCCATTAGTCATTTTTGTTTTCTACCAACATTTACTTCTGTGGCACTGATATAGTGTGATGTCTTTACTGGGCAGATGTGGTTCCCGAGTCCGTTCCGCAGGAAGACGGCGAGTTAGACGCCTAAAGATTTTATAGTTCTATTTATAGTTTTTATTTCGAGTATTTCTTTTAATTAGTTTATTCTTTCATACGTTGAATACGTTTATAGTTATTGTGTAAGGGATGTTAATCAGAATTTTTATTTCGCTTCCGCATTTAAAATTTTTAATACATACATCTTCATTTAAATTTTCGGGGCCGTTACATCTTAATAGTAGAACTATAATTCAAAAGGGTTCTCTTTAATCTTGGAATAATATACGCATTATTTTTTTTATATATTATATAACATTATAAAATTAATTTTTTTTTTTTGATAATTTTAGTTTCTTATTTTCTTTACAACTTTTGAAAAAATTTTAATCAATCATAATTGTTCGTCTTATTTAAACATTATCAAAATAGTCTCATAAATTTAAAACGAGATCAAATAAATCATATCTCGATTCTATTTTATAGTAACTTATCATAATAAAGTTGAATAAATTATGAAGAATGGAGAAAGCGAAAGACAAAAACTTATTTCAAAAAGAAAAAACTTCCCTATCTTAGTATTCATAGGCAATACATCAAACCTAATTAAGCCCATTAAGATATACACATCTAAAGTATGGTAAACTTCTTCTACTTCTTATAGAGTTGAGAACTAAATGTGTTTTTTAGATATGATCAAATTTTAGTATTTGATTATTCTCTTTTTATTTTTTTTATTTGTCCATGAGAAGATAAGTAGCACAAATGGTGAGTTCTGTTTAAATAAATGCGTTCAAGCTACCATGACATTAGGTTTTACAAAATTGACTATCACACTACTCTATAAAAATACAAAAATCAATACAAAAAGCAAAAGACAACATGTAAACACATCATAAAGCAATATCGCCTAATGATGAGGTGCTCAAAGACCTCATCACCTCATTAAGAACTGCAAGGACACCATTCCTAAGTTACTTAAATTGTCAATTTGTTTAAACCATTTACATGTCAAAGACATGGCCGTAGATATCATTTGGCAACCACCATAGCAATTTGGCTTCGAGGATCACTATCAAAACTAATAATTGTGTTTTTCTAGTTATTATTAGACATTATCAAGAATGACAAAAAATTATTCATTATTTATTTTTCTAAAAAGTAAAAATAAATTTATTAGATTACAAATGCAATACATTATTCTATCTATAGAAACTCACAAGTGTTAACTACTATAAAGATCTCAAGCTAAATACCTCATAAATAGCACATCACAAATAGGTTAGTAACTACATTGTGGATTTCATAAATAACTAAATTATGACTTATTATGGATCTCACAAATACATAAGTTGTCGACAATTATAATTCTAGTCATTTCATACTAACATTTTAAGGCGGCATGTTCTATGTTGCATTAAAATTTGATTAGTCACATTCATTGGTTCCCAGTGGTGACTACTATCACATAATCGATAAATCTAATCTTCATACTCTTATCTTTAATATTAGTGTATATAGTACGAGCACATGGGTTCGGTGTTAAATTTTGGACCAGGGAACCTTATATTACAGAGAAAAATATTAGTAGATAGACATTTTATATAAGATCGCTCATTAATTTCTACAAAATGAAGATATATAGAGCTATATATTTCTTAATGAAACTAACTATAATGGGATTGCACAATTTGCCCTTATCCATGCTAAAAGAAATCATTCATTGCTCGTACTTTACACATTTGCTTTATTTGTCATATTTATGTGAAAGCTACTATGAAAGAGACATCATACACCAATTAATCTCACATTTTTCTTT